AGAGAGAGAGAGAGAGAGAGAGAGAGAGAGAGATGTTCTATCTCTCGCCTCACGGGCTGCGCAGGTCTGAAGTAGGTCAGTTTTCCCAAACCAGCACCGCCGGTTCAAAGGCAATCGAAGGCCCGGAATATATAAAGAGAGAGGGTGGGAACAGCCTCAGCCAAAAGCTCCCGTCTCTCTCCCGTTGCACTAGCTTGCTAACTTAGTTTACACAGAGATCATCCGCCCTTTGCTAGATCTAGACAGTACTACCATAGACAGTACTCTTGGGTTATACAGGTGCTTATAGCGGCCTTTGTTTAATCCTGCCGTGCATTGTTCTACCTGCGCACTCGTGACCGCATTTTTCACAAGTGACAACCCAGCCCGTGTCGCCAAGTTTTGCCGAAAACAGCAGCTGTTGTTTTTGTTGTTGTTGGTGTGTGTGTGGCTTGCGAAGTAAATTCTCGCATGCAACAAGTAAAGCTGCTACATAAATCTTCTCGAAGGTATGTAGAACAGTACATTTTTTGTTTTTACCTTTATAGTTCTTTGATACGTGTTCTTAACGAATCGTACAATTTGGTAAGATTTTTGTTCAGTAGTTAAGAAACTGTTATGAAAACCCACGTATTCACATTTTGTTAATTAAAAAAATATAGATCTCACTAAATCATCCCACAGGTAGCTTTACGTAAAATGTACCATAATAGTATACTTTCAGGTTCTCCTCTTTCATTTTATCAACCCATCTCTATTTTTCTCTCGCACTATTCGTATACACGATGCGTTTTCCTTTTCAGAGCTGCCTTGAATAATATACGTGCGCACACGTACAAACTCACAACATGCACCTTTGCGAAAATACACGCACGCGCGCACGCACGCGCGCACGCACGCGCGCACGCACGCGCGCACGCACGCGCGCACACACACACACACACACACACACACACACACACACACATACACACATCGCATTGTAGTATGCTTGGGTTTACAGTGGCTCAACCGCGTCATTTTAAAAATAAAATGAAATAATACAAATTTGTAGCATGCACATCACGCGGTGCCTTCGACCGACTCACTTGAAGAACTCAACATAATCCTTGAGACTATAGATCGAGACTACCAGGTCCAAGATATATGATATATCATTTGATCGGTGTTTACATGGAGAGAAAGAGAGAGAGAGATAGAGAGAGAGAGAGAGAGGGAGAGAGAGAGAGAGAGAGAGAGAGAGAGAGAGAGA